TCGTTTGATAGCCTTGTGATGGCTTTAGAAAGCCGAGCGGATGCGGACATTACACTCGATCTCGTCAAATCGAAACTGTTGGACGCGCATCAACGGCATGCTGATCGGTCGAACGGTAAAAGCGCGGGCGAGAAGGCTATGAAATCGAACACAAAGTGCGACGACAAGAAAAAGTGTTTCTTTTGCAAGAAACCAGGACATTTCAAAAGGAACTGCCGGAAGTTTTTGGAATGACAAAATAACAATGGAAGTGTTTCTAAGTCGGACGGTAAATCTGCCCCCCAGAAAGCGTAACAAGTTCAAAAATCTAGTGAACCGTTGTGTTTTATCGCGGGGCATACAGTGAAGAATGCCTGGATTATGGACAGCGGCGCGTCATGTCACATGACCAGTGATTGGAGTTTTTTCACCTCTTTGACGGAACGTGTTGGAGCAGATGTTGTGCTTGCTGACGGCAACAAAATCAAATCGGCTGGTTCGGGTGACGGAGTGATTCGCGGTTTCGATGGTGATGGAAAACCGGTCGAAATTCGTATTACCGATGTGCTTTTCGTTCCGGGATTAGACGGGCGTTTGCTATCGGTAGGAAAGATGGCAAGTAAAGGTTTCGAAGTGCGTTTCACAAATGACGGTTGTAATGTTGTGAACAGTTTGGATGTTGTTGCGGTGGGTGACCTTTTCGGAAATTTGTACAAACTTAAAGTACTGCAACGCGCGATGCAGTCAGTAAGTGACTGCCATAGTGAGAAGTGTCAGCACTTGTGGCATCGGCGGTTTGGCCACCGGGACATAGACGCTGTGAATAAAATGAACAAAGAGAACCTCGGAAGTGGCATTAATGTGACGGAATGCGGAAGAGAAGAGGTATGTGAAACGTGCCTTGAAGGGAAACTCACCCGGAAGCCTTTCCCTAGTGTTGTGGATAGAAAATCGAAGAAAATCTTGGATCTAGTCCACACCGACCTGTGCGGGCCTTTCAACAACGTCACACCGAGCGGTAATCGGTATTTTATGAGTCTGATAGACGATCATAGCCGATTTACCGTCGTCTACTTACTGAGGGAGAAAACGGAAGCCAAGGAGAAGGTAAAAGACTACGTTCGGTTCTGCCAGAACTACTTTGGTAGGAAACCGAAGATCATCCGATCAGACGGCGGCGGTGAGTACATAAACGAAGATTTGCAACATTTCTATTCCTTGGAGGGCATTATCAGTCAATGCACCACCGCATACCTGCCTCAGTCTAATGGAGTGGCGGAGCGAAAGAACCGCTCGCTCCAAGAGATGGCTTCCTGCATGCTTTTGGACGCTGGCATGGAGAAAAGGTACTGGGGCGAAGCAGTTCGTACGGCAGCTTATTTACAGAACAGGCTTCCCTCCAGAGTTATCGACGGTACACCATATGAAAGGTGGTACGGCCGGAAGCTAGTGTTGGATCATCTGCGTGTTTTCGAAAGCGATGCTTACGTCCATGTACCAGAAGGGAAGCGAGGCAAGTTGGACCCAGGGCCCGAAACCTGACTTTTGTCGGGCACGCTGAGGATCGGAAGGGGTACCGATTCCTGGATCGTGCCACAGATACGATCACACTAAGTAGAGATGCAAGCTTCATCATAGAATAAAGCAACGGTTCGTCGCAAGTGAAACTAATCGAGAATCAGAAGAAGCCCGGACGTAGCAAGGATGAATCGACAGAATCGACGCCGACATCGAGTGACGAGTGGTCCGATGCGAGTGAGAATGGGAAAATCGAAAGGTTCGATGGAGATGAAGTAATTCAGGAGGAGCGGAATACCGAGGAATCGAAGAAACAGTTGCCGTACAGGAAGACACGAGGTACAGTGCCTACTAAACTAACGGACTATGTGGTTGGCGTTGCCATGTGTTCGGTGCAAGAACCTGCTACATTCCGTGAAGCCATGGAGTCACCAGAGAAGCAGTTTTGGATGCATGCTATGGACGATGAGATGAAGTCACACGGCAAGAACGGCACGTGGGAAGTTGTGGAATGCGCCACCGAATCGGAATATTATCGGAAGTCGGTGGGTCTTCAAGGTTAAGCAGAACGAGAGAGGTGACATTGTAAAGTATAAAGCGCGAGTTGTGGCCCAAGGCTATGCTCAGAAATCCGGTGTCGACTACGATCAGATCTACGCTCCTGTGGTTAGTCACACAACCATGCGGTCGCTGCTTGCCGTGGCGGGCAAGAATAAGTTCGTTCTGAGGCACTTTGATATCAAAACTGCATACTTGTACGGAAATATAGAGGAAGAAGTCTACATGAGGCAACCGCCTGGTTTTGAAGCGCGAGGCAAGGAGAATCTCATATGCAGACTAAGAAAGAGTATCTACGGATTAAAGCAGTCCGCTCGCTGCTGGAGTGAGAAGCTCTCGGAGGTACTAACGAAGCTAGCATTCCAGCGCAGCTCAACTGACCAGTGCCTGTTCTACAAAGTGATGCCAGGAAAGACAATTTACATGCTAGTATATGTTGACGACTTACTGGTTGCGGCGTCAGATCAGTCAATGATTGACGATGTCTACCGTGGATTGCAGCAATTTTTCGATATCTCTGATCTCGGGAAAGCTCGTTATTTTCTGGGGATGGAGATAGATCAAGAAGATGGTTTCTATTCGATCAGTCTGTGCAGTTACATCGAGAAAATGATTTCAAAATTTGGAATGGCAGATGCGAAAACGTGCCGTACGCCAATGGATGTTGGATACCCTCAAGATACGGAAACCAGTGAACCATTGCAGGATGGAGATAAGTACCGAAGCTTAGTAGGTGCTCTATTGTACGTCGCTGTTACTGCTCGTCCCGACATAGCCAACACGGTTGGGATTCTCGGCAGGAAAGTAAGCTGTCCCACCGAATTAGACTGGACTGCAGCTAAGAAGATTTTGAGGTTCCTGAAGGCAACGCGAAAATGGAAGCTTGTGTTGGGTCCGTCGCTGACAAACGATGATTTGATTTGAGTGCTTTTTCAAACAGGCGATAAGCAAGAAAATTGAATTTAAATATGTTTGTAAAATATGTAACGCATACAATATAAAAACTATATACCATATCAACGGAAATGGTATCATCAGAATCCTAGTCTTAACCACTTCAAACTAGGGAACAACGAATAGAAGATTAGGAATCACATAGGTGAAGCTTAACTAACTCATTTTTTCCTTGTTTCAAGATCATCCTCAGTCCAAGCAACCCGAGGAGTTATCACTATCAACAAGGCATAAAAAGTAACAAGGACAAAGATATGTTCCTTTAAAGGATGTTCTTTCGATATTTGGTAGCATACCCAACAAACATTGTATACTGAATACGAACTTATTCAGGTAAAAATATGCTTCAACAGCTAAAAATTGGCTCACATTGTTTGTTTGTCACCTGTCATCTCTATTTTGTTTTTCTGGCGTATGTTGTAATAGTCTGTTATTCTATTCGAAAGACTTTGATGCGTTTTTTTAAATCCCTAAAAATCAAGCAACCTAATAGCATAGAGGTAACTCTAAGACCAGAAGGTCCCGAAGAAACTTGCTCAACTTTTTGGCTCAGCTCTGGTACTATCTTCGGTCCCAAGCTGATCGATGCACCCCTCAGAACATAGGAAAATCCACGGAACCCCTCATTTTATCTGTCAAACTTTCATAGCGAATCAAAACAAACATTGTGTAGTACTAGAATTTCGTCTAGAATCGGGTACGTTAATCGATTTGCTTGGGACCAATAGGCTAGCCAAGTAGTGAGCCAATTTAAAATCGATAGTTTCGTTTTGATTGCTGCTAATAGTACGTTCAGACTATAGCTGATATCATTTTATATAGGCTATCTTGCAATGAGCACTCATACATAGGATTTTCAGTGAAAACTAGATGTATGAGTGCTCATTGCCATAGTCTGTACGGGCTATAAATATCTAGGGTGAAGCACAAAACGACACTCTTTTATTAATCGGAGAAATCTCGCGTAACACGTGAAAAGGGCCTATCATTGTTGATCGATTCTCTTCATAGATTTTCTCTTTCGCGAATAACCCGACTGCAAATGAATTTCCCATTGAGTGTGTTGTTTCAGGCGCAAGCTAACATCTGTCGAACTGTGCTGCGAGCTTAGCGAGAAATTCGTTTATGTTGCCGTGGTAAACCAAGGAGAAAGTCGATGAAGAGAATCGATCAACGGGGATAGGCCCTTTTCAAATTTTACGCGCGAAATCCCTTCTATCCCTTGCGTAATCCCATCGGCGTTGACAACAAAGACGAAAAATTTCAACCTAAAAATCAAGGTCATTCGCAATGAAAAATGAAAGGATAAGTAGCACGGAAAATGAAAAAGTCATTATATAAAGATAGAATGATGGCTTTTTTCGGCAACGGCAAGCAAGCAGGAATCCAGCAGAGGAAAACAATAGGAGCACAATATAATTTATGCCTCGACAGAGAATGGATGAAAAAGCAGTTCCGCATCTACGCGGGGGTCTAGCTAGAGGAAGGTATCTACTGCTACAGGAAGACATTCTATTCATGCGAAAATTCTTCTACGGACTTAAGGTGATGTGGGTGGGTGGGTTGTTTGGTGTAAGCGAGCAAGTGAGTGAGTGAGTGAATGAGTGAGTTAGTGAGCGTGTTGTGCTGAGAATCCCATGCACTGCAGTGCAAGTCTCGAGGTTGATGCAAGTGGTGCGATGAAATCTCTCTATTGGTGGCTAGGTGAAAAGAATTTCTGACTAACTTCTACGATGTAAAAAATGTACACTGCTATAAAAATGGCCGACGAAATGAGGGTTTTGCTAGGCGAGAGCAGAAAATGTTGGCCCAACTTTTGCTGTGTACATTCTCTATAGCTTAGTGCTAGCGAAAAAAGATAGATAAAGTTGTCTCCATTCGTTCTTTCGTTCGTTCGTTCGTTTGTTCGTTTGTTCGTTTCTTGAATCACAGTTTTCTTTTTGTTTCCGTTCGACTTTCGAGAGATGCTAAGGCAAATGTATGATACTTACGCTGGAAGTTCACCAACTGCCGATCCACTGTTGTTGCGTTATTTAATGTAAATGTGGTATGGACGCACGATTTTTTTTTTCGACGAATTTCGTAAATGGCCACGTGGAAAGGGAGTAGGAAGAAACATATTTTTTTCGTGGTTAGAGCTCAAAGCTTTGATTTGGTTTTTCTGTTCGTTATTGTTTGGAGGGTTGGGAATTTTGATTGGTGGGTATTGGTTTCCTTTTTTTATTGCTGAGGTTGGATGTTCCTTTCAACGTTCCATTGTTTGAGGGAGAGGGTAGCATTTCAAGGGAAAGCAGCAAGGCCAATTATCATCAAAAATGGCAGATTCGGGTTCTCTGAGCAGAGCTAGTGTTGGTTTGTTGGACGTTTGTACTTTCTCTCGTTTTTATTCTGATTGTGGTCGTTTTTGACGGGATGGAATGTGGTATGATATTTTTATTTTGTGTTATAAATTTACTGTGGGAAAAATTTAATCTGAGTGGTTATTTATATAATTCGAATGATCCATTGAACGGTAACAGATTGGCGACTTCAGCAACTATTGAATGTCTAATTGCAATTTATCCGAAGAAAAATCAGACATCATTTGATCATTTTCTCGAGTACCATTAAATGTCGTACGCAGGAAGCTGTTTCAGACGGCCACCGTTGTTGGCGTGGGAATTTCACGCCTCATTTCTGGTGGCACCGAACCGGAAATTTGAAAATATTGGCTCTAAAGCGTGAAGCCTGCGTGCCAAAAATTTCACACCCTTCCATTTCAACGCGCAGTTGCTCCAAGGGGCGTGAGGCGTGAAATTGCTCACGCAAACTATAAAGCCCCGTTGTTGTGGGAATGTCGACGATGTGTTTAAAAGTTGCCACGTCGACAGCCACGATGACAACGGACGGAAGCGGGGTTGTAAATCAACGTTTATGACCCCCATTGGAGCGCGCGAGCAAAAGGATTTGTTTATCCATGTTTGGAACTGAGACGTGTTGTCCCTGTTGGAAGCATTCGACACTGTTGCTTGTTGTCACGTAGCTGTTTACCTGTGCTTCAATGGATGGGACTTGGCGGTCATAGCTACGAATAAATGGAATCCACTTTATTGATTTCAGCTTTGTTACAACATCAATTTCTATTCAATTCATCAGTTACATCAAATTGCATCGTGGAAAAAACACTGTAGAAAATTACCCATTGGGTATTTTCTCAAGCAAATTTGGGTAGACGTAGTTTAGAGTGTATTGTTTACACTGTATTTTTATCGCTGTCAGTTTTTCTAAAGTTGTAAAAAATGGCGTCATCCGAAAAGCAACGTCGCGAATTGATCTTGCGCAAGCACCTGGAAATTCTCAACTCTCGGGACATCGGGACATCGGAAAACAACTCGGAATCGTGCAGTCAACGGTGAGTCGTGTGATTAAACGAAACTCTAAACATCAAACGGTAGGAGAAATCCGGTTAGAATGGGTGTTCTATTAGTGATCAGGATCACAAGCGTGTCGTGAAAGCGTTTAAGCGGAATTCCAATGCTTCGGTCAGGGATGTGGCCAAAAAGTTGAATCTGTCCAAGTCTTTTGTTCAGAGAGACAAGGACCGGGAGGGACTGCATACGTACAAAGTGCAGAAGGCTCCAAATCGTGACGAACGGCAAAATGCGGTGGGAAAGTCACGGGCCCGGAAACTGTACACTCAGATGCTGACGAAGCCTCATTGTCTCATCGTGGATGATGAGACCTACATCAAGGCGGACTTTCAGCAGTTTCCGGGGCTACTGTTCTTAACCGCTCAGCAGAAGTTTGATGTTTCGGAGGAAGTAAGGAAGCAGAAACTTTCAAAGTTTGCCAAGAAATACATGATTTGGCAAGCGATCTGCTCATGTGCCAAACGGAGTGCGCCGTTCGTGACTACCGGGACTGTAAACGGGGAGATCTTCCTCAAGGAGTGTCTACAGAAGCGTCTGCTTCATTTGTTGAAGCAACACGAGGGCCCTACGATCTTCTGGCCGGATCTAGCTTCGTATCACTATTCAAATGTTGTCCTGGAGTGGTACGAAGCCAACGGGGTCACTTTCGTACCCAAGGACATGCACCCCACCAACGCACCGGAACTAAGGCCCATCGAAAAATACTGGGCTATTATGAAGCAGGCACTATGGAAGCATCCCAAGGAGGTAAAATCTGACGAAGACATGAAGAAAAAGTGGGTTTCCGTACAGAAGAAGCTGCAGGCAGATGTTGTACAGAACCTAATGAGTGGAGTTAAGCGTAAGGTGCGAGCGTACGGTTATGGTATTGAAGTTGAATGAAATAAATATGCCAAAAGCTCACAAATGGGCTATATTTTATTGTCTGAAAGATTGAAAAGGATCGGTCAACTAGGTAATTTTCTACAGCGTTTTTTCCGCGATGCAATTTGATGTGGGACACCTTTTAGAGTGGGCACAACTTAAGGTGAATCGCTGTGACATCCTTATTCTGGGAACCACTTCGAATCGTTAAGTGCACAAATATCAGCTTCTACGGCACGTGAGCAGTGCAGCAAACGTGAAGTAACAATTGAAGGTGAAATTGGGCACCGATTTCCGAGATTTGTGTTATTTGAAATTCGAAGTGGAAGTGTCATTTGTGGACTTTACAAGGAATCACCTCAAGGGAATTTGCTTATTTTGTATTGTTGAACAAGGATGAAAGCACATCTCAATGCAAACAATCTGAGCGGGATAAACGGGGCATAACACATTTTCCAAATCATCCTGGAATTAAGATCTTAAATATTTACAGTCTCAAAAAAGATGTCCCGATGAAATTTCAATCTTGTTGCCCTTCCACGAAATCATCATAATCAACTGTCGTTACTGAAGATTCCCCATATCAGGCGAGAAAAATTTACTTGTCACGATATTACAGGTAGCTATCTTTGGTAAAGTTGGTCAGATAGCTTATGCCTTCCGGATGGTGTAGATATTAGATACAAATGTATACACTGTGCTATATCTCGTGATTCTGACCAGCTGGGAAGTTACTGTCGCGAGCAAAATTGTTCAGATAACAAAAGCTTCTCGAATTGCGAGAAGATTAGCTCAGTCACTACGCGTCGCTAGTGAGCATGTGAAATTTTAAAATGTGCTTTATCTCGAGATGCTGGCTATCCATTTTAAACTTTTTTTAGTAGACAGATTTTAGTAAAACAAGTGGCATATGAAAGATCTATAATATGACCACAAATGAGAAAAATTTCAAACACTCAAATAAGCCCAACACCGATAATCTATAAATGTTTGATAAGGCAGCAGGCAAACATTCAGAAGCTTATTGTTTTAAATTGCGCTCGTAACGCTGTTTTTCTTAAATTTAAGAATAGCTGTAGCATAGGAACTGGTTGACAATTGTTGTTGTTATTTACATCGTCGTGATTTTGCGCTGTTAAATTTGATGATTTTTTTTTATCATACGGGCTATCGTTCTTCGTTTTTCCCGTTATGTAGACTTTCAAAATTTTACCTGTTGTTAGTGGGAAGTGCAGTTCGTTGCGATAATCGTCTATTTGGAGCATATTTCATGTTGTGAAAACAGTGAAAAAGTTATTTAATCGGACATCTTGTGGTGTTTACTGTTGTGTTATTGTCAATATCAGACGCTCTGCAGAATCCAACTCCTCCTTGCGTATTAGAGAATATCCACTGCTGTTTCTAAATTAGATTTGGAAACTGAGTCAGCATGACTTCCGCCTGTGACCAATGTGCTAAACCAGTTAAAGGCGACGAAGAATCCGTATCCTGCATGGCTTTTTGCGACAGGATGATTCACCTGAAATGCGGTGGCACAAATTTGAACAAGGCTTTTCTGAATATTGTCCACACTAGCCCGAACTTGTTTTGGATGTGCAACAAGTGCGCGAAGCTGATGAAATGTGTCCGGTTCAAAACTGCTGTTTCGTCGTTTGGTAGTGCGATTAATTCTATCACCGAGAAACAGAAAATCGCACATGCTGACTGCTGAGCTTAGGAAGGAAATTACTAAAGAAGGACAGCTGCTCGCTCAGATGTCGAAACGAATCGCATTGGCAACTCCAACACACTTGAGTTCCGGCAATCTTATGCGTCAACCGCCATTAAAACGGCGCCGCGATGAAGGTTCGCTCACCAGCAAACCTCTTGTTGGTGGTACTAAAGCAGTAACGGATGACAATGTCTTTACCGAGGTCCTTACTGTCCCTCAAGCCACCGAGCTGTTTTGGCTGTACCTTTTTCGTATACATCCTAGCGTGAAATCGGAATCAATCGAGAAGCTGGTCAAAGGTTGTGTACAGTGCGATGATCCGATTAAGGTTGTGCCGGTAGTTAAAAAAGGATCCGACATCAGCTGTATGAGTTACATATCGTACAAAGTCGGATTGGCTCCCAAACTACGTGAAGTTTCTCTTACATCGGATACATGGCCGAAAGGAATTTTGTTCCGTGATTTTGAAGATGGTTCAAAAACATGTGGATGCCTCGTTTGAACACACCTGCCATCACGATCTCCTGTTCCGGAACCTTCCGAGTTCTCAACTCACATCTCCGGACTAGACCAAGTATGCTGATTCAGAATTGGATGCCGCGTTTTGAATTGGAACGCTGTAAACCAGAACGCACTGCCTGTCGCATTATGGGAGACCTCGAACTACTCGATCCTGTCGCGCTAGCTGTTTTCCGCTATCAAAGTTGTTCTATTTTCTGCCATTAGCGTCGTTCTGGACCTGCGGTCGAGTTCGGTGGTGGGGTCTCCCAACCATCGTCTTCAGGCAAGTATGCATACATTAGTTACAGTAATTTTCCTGATCAGGTTTTCAGGTTCCGTGTACCAGTGGAACGCCTCAAGCATCTGCCGGCTGTATCCAGTTGAGAAGCCCTTCTGATACTGCTCATTCACAACATCCGCTTTACTGTTTGAACAATCCTAATTCATCTCCGGGACACACAATAGACCGCTCTTTGGAAGCTCCTGGTTCCTCCAGCCCAGTCGTGCCGATTCCTGCCAGCGTTCAGCATGG